AAATATGGTGCCTATACTCCAAATGTCCACTGGAGTAGAGTAACGGGCTGACCCCAGCAATACTTCTGGAGATCTATACCAAAGTGTCACTACCTATTACAAAGCAAATTGTATACTCGATAAATGTGTATTCAAATAACAATCATAAGACTGTTCTTTAGAAAAAATTTTGTGACTGCGACCAATAATGGTTAACTATATACAAAATACTAAATTGAAACTAAGTATTTCGCTTCTGAGTTCTAATTAGGAGGAAAAAAACCAACAACAAAAAACTCTTAAAAGTAGAAGTAACAAAAAAAAGCACCTTATTGATGACATTTGGAAGAGATTATAAAGGTGCATTTACTGCTTACATGCAAAAATAGTAATTAATTTCACCATGGTAACAGAAACATCAGTAAGTCAAATAATAGTTTGTTAGTACAAATTTACCATCTTAGTATATCTAGTTTTAAAAATGGAAAACATAATTACAAATCTAACCAGAAGCTTATGGCTCGTGCCTGTAATCCTAGCTATTTGTGAGGCAGAGATCTGAGGACTGTGATTCAAAGCCAGCCTGGACAGTCTGTGAGATTCTTACCTCCAATAAACGATCAAAAAAACAGAAAGTAGAGCTATGGCTCATTAAATGGTAGAATGCCAGTCTTGAGCAAAAAAAGCCCAGAGACAGAGCCCCAGGACCAGCTTGTGCGCACGCACGCACGCACACACACACACACACACACACACACACACACACACACACACACACACACACACACACACACACGAACAAGCCTGGTAAGGTCAATAGTATTGGCTAACCCAAAGATAATCAAATAACCTTTATTAGGGCTGGGAAGGTGGCTCAGTGGTAGAACACTTGCCTTGCATGCATGAGGCCATGGTTTGATTCCTCAGCACCACATAAGCAAAAAAGAAAAAACCGGAAGTGGCGCTGTGCCTCAAGTGGTAGAGCACTAGCCTTGATCTGAAGAGCTGAGGGACAGCGTCCAGGCCCAGAGTTCAGGCCCCACGACCAGACCCCCCCCCAAAAAAAATCAAATAACTTTTATTCATATAGCCATGGGAAAAATTACACAAGAAGAGTTTTGATCTGCATCTGTATATAACTTCACAAAAGATAGCTTTCAAGCATCCAGCGTTCCCTTTCCCTCCAGAAATATCTGTATATACTTCACAAAAGATAGCTTTCAAGCATCCAGCGTTCCCTTTCCCTCCAGAAATATCAAACAAAATGCCAACCCAATACTGACAAAAACCTAACTATAGGGTTTGAGAGTATGGCTCACCAGCAGGACAATTATCTAGCTGCACAAGATTGGATTACCCTCAATACCAAAACAAACAATACAATCTTTTGTTTAATCAGATTGGGTGCCAGCACCAATCAGGAGACAGAAAACACAATGATTGTAGGAAAATTAAATAGATTTTTAAACTAAGAGGGGATCAGATGATACTCATCTCCAAGTTGCTTGACGGACAAATACAACTGGCAAACAAAAAATATGTATAAGTCCAGCTCCACTTTCATACAGCATGAGGTGAAGGGTGAACTCACAGCTCAGAGGCAATAAAAGGGCATTATCATAGAATAGATATATAGCAATAATGCAGTCCAAAATAGAAAAATATTATTCTACTTACCTCATGTGTATATACCCTAATAGGGATTCCAAAAGCTCTGGCAAGGCCAAAGTCAGCCAGCTTGATAGTTCCTTTATCATCAATCAATAGATTTTGAGGTTTTAAATCTCTGTGAAGAACCCTTCTAGAGTGACAAAACACAATCCCCTGAAGGATTTGGTACAAATAACTCTGGAAAAATAAAATGTAGTTAGAAATTTAATCATCTCACCTATCTTAATACCCTAAATTAATCTGTTTCAAAGATTTAAGTAATTAGGTAGGGAAGTAATTTATCAGAAAAGCTTGTAGGTCCTTGTAGATTAATAATGCACTTGTGGATAGGAAGCCCATGTTTACAAACACAAGACATTTGTTTACCTGTGGCCCTGTTAACTCTATTCTTTTTTAAAAAATATGTATTTTTTATTGTAAAGATACTGTACAAGCCGGGTGCTGGTGGCTCACACCTGTAATCCTAGCTACTCAGGAGGCTGAGATCTGAGGATCGTGGTTCAAAGCCAGCCCAGGCAGGAAAGTCTGTGAGACTCTTATCTCCAATAAACCACTCGAAAACTGGAAGTGGTGCTGTGGCTCAAGCAGTAGAGCACTGGCCTTGAGCTGAAGAGCACAGGGACAGCAACCAAACCCAGAGTTCAAGCCCCACGACGGACAAAAAAAAAAAAAGATACTGTACAGAGGGATTGCAGTTACATGAGTAATGAGTACATTTCCTATCAAGCATTGTTACCCCCCCTCTTTTGTTTTTCCACCCCAAGTTGTAAAGTTCATTTTCAACATAGTGTTTTGTACATCTCATTGTTACAAAGAGTCAACCTGTATCTTTGTTTCAGCATTTGGTTATTTCCCATCCCCTTCCAAATGTATATACAAGATGTATATACAAGATGCAGGGGACCAGAATCAAATACAGTGAAAACAGGGGTTGGGGCTGGGAAGGTGGCTCAATGGTAGAGTGCTTGCCTTGCATGCCTGAGGCCCTGGGTCGATTCCTCAGCACCACATAAGCAAAAAAGAAAAAGCCGGAAGTGGCACTGTGGTTCAAATGGTAGAATGCTAGCCTTGAGCTGAAGAGCTGAGGGACAGCGCC